TTTGTCAAAAATATAAATTATAAAAATATTTATATTAGTAGCATAATTAATCAGTTCAAAATAACTATCAACAAAAAAAAATACAAAATCATAGAAACAAAAAAATATTGTATTATTAATATAATTAATCATTACCAGCGGCTAATCGATTAAAGTAATCTAAAATAAACAAATCTCATTTATATTTATTAGTTATGAAACATTGTTAATATTATAAAGAATAATTTGTTTTTGAAGAACATATWAATTARTTTCTTTGTTATTTRWGTTTTGATTTTRRAAYATTYCATGTRGAAYRACACACATATAAGTCTKSTARGACACATATAAATTATATTATTCGACTGAAATTTTTTTTTGAATATAATGGATAATAGCAAAATTAATCAATCTTTAGCGAATTTAAAAATATATTTAAATATACTTAAAATGGATCTCAAAAGAATAGATAAATATAAATAATAATTAATCAATCAAAATATTTTAGTAATAAATAGTGTATAAATTTACAAAGAGTTTAAAATATATTTGGAAAATGAGAAAGAGAATAAATAAATTAAATCTATTTATTTTGTAATGGCTAAAGTCTTTAGAAAAAAAGAGCAAAACAAGACAAAAATTTAAAGACAAGACTTTAAACCATTTTTGGCAAAAAATAATCTTTAAAAGTTGTAGAATTCTCGAAAACCTTAAAAGACTATTGCCAAACAACTCCTTTGTATCTTATTTATCAACCGTCTCTCATTTTTATTACTTTTTGTATAAATTTTAACAAAACTTGAAAAAATACATCTTTCTTCGTTGATTTTGTTGGTTAAGACCAAAGAGTTGATTTTACGTCTTTCTTCATATCATCTATTTGGTGTTGATGAAAATTCTGAAATTGGATCAGAGCAGTCTCAAAATATTTTGAGATATTTAAGTTAAAAAAAAAAGTTGGTAAACAAAATTTTGTTTTGATTGTGTTAAACAACAATATGAGAACTAACCAATTTGTTGATAAAAACAGTAAAAACAAGAGCACACGACACTTCAAACCATTTGTTTTTTTTTTATCTTTCCATTGGTTTACCGTAAAACTTCTAAATAAGAAATACATTTTCTTTATTTTTTTTTACCGTAAGGCAAAATTTTCTTTATTTTTTTTAGCATTTCCCTAGCATCATAAATTTAGTACTT